CTCTTCATCTTTGGAATAAACCCATCACATGCTTTTCCTTTCATTCGTTCTATGTGTTGAACTTCTATTTATGTAACATAAATGAATACTCTTAAGACTACTTAGAGTCAAGCAACAAATAATATGAACCATGTGGTTCTGTCTCTGGCTATCTCAATATCAAACTCTCATATCTCACATGGGGAAAATCGAAAAAGTTTAGAGGTGTGGATTTCAAAAGATGGCAACAAAACATGTTGTTTGATCTTACTACTTTGAATTTAACAAAATTCTTAAAAGATAACTTTCCTATTGTAGAAAAAAAGAAGAAAATAATCATGAGTCAATTATTGAATTGGATACATGGAAGCACTCAGGTTTCCTTCGAAAGGATTACATCCTAAATGGATTGGACAATACATTTTATGAAGTGTATAGTTCGAAGGACTCCGCCAAGGATCTATGGGATTTATTAGAGAAGAAGTACAAAGCTGAGGATGCCGAAACAAAAAAGTTTATTGTCGACAAGTTTTTGGAGTACAAAATGGTAGACCCCCAAACTGTAAGAAGTCAAGTGCAGAACTTCAAGTTCCACTTCATGACATACACAAAGAAAAGATAGAATTGAGTGAATCCTTCCAACTTGCAGCCATCATTGAGAAATTCCTCCTTTATGGAGAGATTTTAAGAACTATCTTAAGCACAAATACAAGGAGATGAACTTGGAGGAATTGATAGTTCATTTGAGAATTGAGGAAGCCAATAGAAAAATCGAAAGAAAGTCAATTGTTCAACTTGGAGCAAACTTTGTTGAAAATGGCCTGAAGGGCACCAAGAAGAGACAACTCCAAGAGTACAAAAAAATATAAAGGCAACTCTTACGATTGTGGAAAAGTCGGACATCGTTCAAATGAGTGTCGAAAGTCGAAAAAGACTACACAAGCATATATTGTTGAAAGAGACACCCTCTCTAAAGGAATTCAAAGATGAGTCTATCTACTGTTATTTCTATATGCAATATGGTTAGTAATTCAAAGGATTTGTGGGTCGATAATGGTGCTACCGATTATATTTGTGCAGATAAAGCCATGTTCTCAAACTATTATGAATCAAAAGGACAACAATTGTTCATGAGGAACTCTACGAGTTCGAGCGTTGAAGAACTTGGAAAGATCACATTGAAAATGACATCCAGGAAAGAACTAATCCTCAATAATGTCCATGTACTAGACATTTGCAAGAACTGGTTTCGGAGTCTTTACTTAGCAAGAATGACTTTAAATTTGTATATGTATCGGACAAATTTGTACGTACCAAAAGCAATATGTATATTGGTAAAGGTTATCTTTGTGAAGGAATGTTCATGAACATCCCAACAATTTTACGAAAAAGCATTATAAATAAAAATTCTAATTATGTTTATATGCTTGAATTGTCTTGTTTATGGCATAGTCGATTAGAACACATCAATTACAAATCTATGTTCAAACTTATGAATGAAAGTTTAGTTTCGATGCTTAAGATTGATCTTAATCATAAGTGTGAAGTATATGTTGAAACAAAGTTGACCAAAACACCTTTTCACTCAAGTCAAAGAGTGATTAAAGTATTATTTTCATGAGGACCAAATATCCAATTCGATTTTTAATTAACATATAACTATCTAAATGCAATGCTAAGAAACTAGTACGAAGCATTTATGAACTCGATTAACAACAATCAATAGGACTTCGAATCTCTCTTTATATTATGTTTTAACAACCATCGAAGATATTGACAACATGTTTAAACTTGATGATTAATGTACTTATTGCGTTTAGTAATCTTTCTCGATTAATACTAAATATATTCTCACATGTGAACCTACAGTATGTCTATGAAAATTGTGAACGCGTGACAATGCATTTAATCACTATATAATAAAATCATGCAAGATATATGGTATGGGTATATATCTCTATCACATATCGAACCCTACAAAGATTATTATCATGTGCATAATCCTTATTCTTTCTATCAAACATAATAAAGATCATTAATCTGTTCAACTAATGATCAATTAATTGAAGCATTAAACATGTAACATACTATTCAAGCTAAATAAGAATTAATAGTTAGAGTCTCGAAATTAAAATTAAAACATTATCCTAGTGACTAGGAATTTAGTCAAGCATCATAAAGTTACAAAAACAAATGCTTGCATATTTAGCCATGTCTCTTATTTTAATTGTAGAAAAAAAAAGGAAAATGTCTTGAACTCATGAGTTTCTTCAACTCTTAAATAATATCCGTGTACGAAGAAGCCAAAATCTAAATTATAATCTTCAATTTTGGTAGATGATTGTGTGTTCTTGTATCAAGCTTCTTGATTTCTCTCTAACGAATGGTCCTCCAAGGTAAGGTTTTATTCCATGTAGAAGTTGAGTCAAATTAGGAAACGAAATTTTTGTTGTCAGACACTACCATGCAATCGTACAGTGTCAAGTTTTCACTTGCTAGAATTCATGTACCTTGTGATAGCATGTAAGGACCCTTGCGGTCATAATGCCTTACTTTTCATTCTTGGTTAATTTTGGTTTCTGAATTCCTTCTTCGGCTCAACTTGATTCATCTTCTATTTTCTCCATAAGTTCAACTTTCAGTTCTTCTCACTTTAACAAATGTTATCCACTATTACCCATTCTTGGTCTGTCTCAAGTTTTGGAGATTTACAATTTAGTCCCCAAACTTTTACAATTGTTCTTCTTTTGTACTCTTCAACTGACTTTCACTTCTTTTTTAATCTACAATCCAATATCAAAACTTTTACATAACAATCAATATTTAACTAAAATTAAGTGGAAATTCAATTGAAGTGACTCCCAAACATCCACTTTTAAAAGCTTGGATAAGTGTTCAAAATACTCTTATCAATAACAAAAATTATTGGTTTGAGAATTTTAAAATTTCGGGAGTTTTATAGATTGTCTTTCCTGATTCTAACTTAGTATATACTTAAACTCATTAATTTAATTCTAACAATTAATTATATATAAAATGTTGAGGAACATATATTGAACAACACCAGTACTTAAAAAATAAATGAAAATCTTATATATCATAGAGTTTAGTAATCTCCGACGTTTGATTTCATTTGCAGACATCCCATAAATACATGACTCGGTCCAACACCCTAACTTAAAGTATAGGTATGGAATTTTCGACCACTAACATAATTTTTTGGGTGTCTTGTTGATCAGTTATACAGCTTTTCCACATTATGAAATTTGTGGGACAGTGTTTTTAGGTTGATTGATGGTAGTTACATATAAACAATAGGGCCAAGGGGAACCTTAAAAGGCACTAGGGCCTAGGGGAATCTTAAAAGGCAAAAGCTTTTATATAAAAGTCTCGTCGAGGGTAGTTGAATGGCTTATTATAATTAAAAAACTAGATTATGATTGGAGAATTTGAACCTTAAATGCAAGTTCTCGATTATTTCTGACTTTTGAATTATTTTCATATTTTTTTTTGCGAGTCAAGTGCCCGAGTTTCGTCCGACTAATTTTGAGGAGTAGTTCCTCCCGGTTCGGTTCACCGCCCGAGTAATTTTGAATGCGGTTACAATTAATGCACACTTAGACCGGACATTCGGGATGCAGTTTTCACGTGCAGACAGGACTCTTGGAGGGATGACTAAGCACATCATAACTTTGCCTTTACAAGACATCTGCCTTCCAACATAACTATTGCCTTCCAGCTGCCGCATGGATTCGAACTTCCGATACTCCGTAGAGAACTCTTCTTTTTTACCACTAAACCATGCTCGGGGGGCTAATTACTTTCATTTTAGATATGGAATAGACAGGTGTAATTAACTATCATGGGTCCATTGAGAGCTGGGATATTTTTTGAGTACGAGAGAGACAGAGTCAACCTGTATTATGTTTCAATATCTTATTGACTCATCCAATTGCTTTTCAAATATAGAATTTCTTCTTTAAAGGCATTTCTGTCACAAAATCTCCACTATGACAAGTATAACTTGGCCTTTAAGTGTGAAAGCATGATATTATTATAAAATTTTACAAAATGAGAGCAAGAGTGCAAGACTAAAACTATCCAAGATCAAAGATGATATATGTGATGGATTTTTCATCACAATTTTGTCTAAAATTTTAAAACTTATAAACTAGAAAATTATAATATAATATAGTAATTGAGGTGCAATAATTGTGGGATGTCGTTAATGAAATTGAATAAGATTACGGAGATCGTCGAAGATTACGCCTTGACGTCTATTTTATCATTATAATTGTATTATATATAGATAGATTATTTTTACCATATTTATATTATAGGATAATATTAATTAATATTGTAATAGATTGCTACCATATTTAATGGTGATTTTGCTCCAATATAATGAGAGAACCTCTCACATTTAGAGGTATCGAGTCTTACTGAGTATATTTGACATGGTATTAGAGCGTGTTTAATTTTATTTAGGTTAAACTTACAAACTTCTGTTCTCCGGCAAGCGGCATTGTGCCGCTCCTCCAGTCAAATTTTCTTGTTTTTGTTTTACATTTTTAGACCTTCCATGTCATGTGAGAGGTATGGAGTCTTATTGAGTATATTTGACATGATAGCAGAGCGTGTTTAATTTTATTTAGGTTAAACTTACAAACTTCTGTTCTCCGGCGAGCGGCATTGTGCCACTCCTCCAGTCAAATTTTCTTGTTTTTGTTTTACTTTTTTAGACCTTCCATGTTGATGTATTATTGAGCATCACCAAGCATGCAAATATATAGCTTGGACTGAGGGATATGAAACCCTTGTCCTTAGGATCATACTTTTTTTTTATCAACCCAATATAGAGCTCAATTGTCTAGTCAAGTTTTAGTTGGAGTTATTTTGGAGAAGATTTTGTGTTCTTTTGACTGACCAATTCGAGTAATACCCAATTTCAGGTGACGTGATTAATGGCGATGTTGGGTTCGGCTATCGAAGGTTCAAGTTACAGATTTAGGAGTTTGGCATTATCGACGCCAGATTGTGGTCGAAATGGCACTGCTTTTGGAAATAGCTTGGAACACCAAAACAGAGTGGTGAGACACAATGGCACGGTCGCTTTCACTGCAAATCACGGGATGCTTCACAGCAGTACGTTCACACACGAATTTTACAGCTCGAGCAACAACATAAGCATAATCTTCAACACTGTAACCAACAAAAATTTCAGAGTTCCGGGATTTTGAGCCGTCATAATCAATTCCAAGACCACTGCCATTGTCAATGACTTTCATACAAGTACCGAGGTAGATTAATTCACAGTAGATTGGGGATGCTTCACGTACTCCTTCAGATGTTGTTGAACTCGTCGTGGATCTGCACTCGCTGAGAATGGAACGGTGGAGATGGAGGCTAGCATCATGGATGGTTCTGGCAAGAGATGTGGCGTCGTTTTTTGTATCACCACCGTGAAGAACCCTATTTCCCTTGCCCATCTCATCATGGAAAAATCTCCCTATTCTTATCTTGCATTCTCTAGAGCCGAAGAATATGCTAAACAACAGGATTGTGGTGTAGAAGAGAGGTTTCGATGGAGAACAGAGGCATTGATGCAGATCTGTTTAAGGACTTGGGCTAATTCTAGTGGGCTTCTATTATCTTGGGTTAGCTTTGCAATTAAATCTTTTGGGCTGTATGTTATTTAAGGGTGTTTATTTGAAGTGGGCTTATTTTTTTATTTTTTTGTTGTGTGGGCTGATTTTGGAGTGGGTTGAATTTAGGTGGGAATTTGGTTGGCTTGGATCTGATTCTATTGGGACTTCACGTGGATTGTGTCTATTGATTTTAAGCTTAGTGGGTTTACATATAAATTATAGATTGTTGGGCGTCATAGTTTTATAGGGCCTACTATCATTTGGGGTTATTGGGTTGTAAACTGTGGAAGCATGGGAACATAAGGAGCTGATGTCTGCTAGTTTTGAATTGTGTGGAAAATTCTCTAATATGTATCTCATGGTTTTTGCAAAGGCGCTGCTAAACAACAAGGATTTTCATTTTTTGGTTGAAGAGACAGAGACATGGGAGTGCAGACTATTGAGTTCTTTAGTTGCTCGGATAATGAGCTAAAGCTTTGGATTCTCGGTGGAGGATTATCTTTGAAGTTTTTAGTATTGGCTATTTTGTGGAATTTCTTTGAACTACAGTACCTTGGCTAGCAATATATTGCTGAAATTTTGGCCAGTGTATTGGCGTTAGAACTTTTGTTGGAACACAAATTTTGTGTTCAATCTAGTTTTCCCAACAAATAGAGCTCATTGTGTATCGGCACACTTCATGAATTTCTTTTGGAAATTTTTCTTAGGGTATGAGCTTTCTGAAGTGGTTTTGGAGTAGTTTTTAATTGTTTCTACACAATTTGTTATTCTTGGTTTCTAGTCGTTACTAATTTTCGTAGATGGTTGCTCTGATTTGGGTTTCTTCTTTGTGAGCACAAGTATTGTCGTTGTCGTCAGTTCATGATTGCAAAATGATACTTTTACCAACATCAATTTGAGGGTGATGTCAATAAGATTGAATAAGATTATAGAGATTGTCGAAGATTACGACTTGAAGTCTATTTTATCATTATAATTATATTATATATAGATAGATTATTTTTACCATATTTAAATTATAAGTTACTATTATTTAATATTGTGATAGATTGCTAAAATATTTAGTGGTGACTTTGATCCTTTATAATGAGAGAATCTCACTTTGAGAGGCATCGAGTCTTATTGTCTGACATCTCCTATGTTCATACATTTATCTTTTGCTATTCAATAAATTATGCCACCTTGCGTGGATTTAATTTTTAAGAAAAATAAAAGCTAAGCCCTACTGATACGATTTCGGCACAATATTGGTGATTCTTCTATGAAAACAATATTTTGAAACTTTTTGAATATATTTATTTTATGTCTTGTAAAGTAACTATGAGTTTTTGTCTCTTTCAAGAAAATAGTGGTGGTGTTTCAAAGAAGGAAATAATTTTATCTTTTTATTTACTTAAAAAATGATAATAATTTTTTTAGACCAATATAGAGATTTCTAAGTATTGTAATTCCTTAACATTTTTTTAAGATTACTAAGGTTGAATGTGAATTTCAAATGTTGATGAAATCTTGAAATATAGAATTTACGATTGATTTGGTCGAAGTTGGGGTTGTTTTATATATATATATATATATATATATATATATATATATATATATAACTAAAATTTTCAATTTAAGTCTCTCTATTGCTTATTTATAAAATTTGTTCGTGTATAAGATCTTCAATGAACTATAAATTTACTTGCACATTGGTGGTGGATAATCTACTTTTGTGGTTGTTGGATAAGTAAAGCTACTATTTTTTACCACAAAAGGATAAGTTTGCAATTTCTTAATTGTTAAGTTAAGCACATGCATGCATGCATAGAATGGAGGTTGGCAAATTCAAGTTTTTTTCTCCTGCAAGTGGTAGTCGAAATGCTTGAAAAATTCCAGCCACTTGACAGGCCGAATGTGTAGAGAATTCCAACAAATGAAGGTGTTAGAACTTTGACTCTTTGAAGCAATTAAAGGTGGTAAAACTTCCAGCAATATCCAGCCCATTTACAGCCAAGTTTAGCCATTATTCTTGACAATTGAAGGTGGTGGAAATCCTACAAATGACAAGCAAAGTTGTAGATAATTTTCTTGAATTTTTCAAGCAATTATGGCGGCCAAAAATCTCTATAAATATGGGCAAGAGTTTGAGAGAAAAGTATGCCGTATGTAGAAGAAAAATTGAGAGAAATTAAAAGTAGAGAGTAGAGAGAAAATTGTGGGTGGAAAGATAAAATTATAGAGAGAAAATTCATTATTTTTCTCCTAAGTATTTCCTACTTGTATTTTCCTATTACAAAAGAGACTAATTGTTGTTATCTCCTTGTATTTAGAGAGTGTGTTATAATTCTCCGACTATAGTGAAATCCTCCTATACTTGCTCGTGGACGTAACCTAAATGGGGTAAACCACGTAAATACTTGTATCCATTTTTAGCTTCGTTTTCTTAATTCCATTTTTTGTCAGCCAAACTCGACCCACGTTTTTCCTAATAGTGGTATCAGAGCTAGGTTCTATGCAGGGTCTTTGTTCACTACTTACTATTTTTAATTATAGTATTCGTGAGCAAAATGGCGACAAAGTATGAGATTGAAAAGTTCAATGGGAACAATTTCTCATTAGAAAAAATGAGAACAAAAGCAGTTTTGCGAAAAGATAACTGCTTGTCAAGTGTGTGTTGCTAATCTGCATCTAGCACCAGCTGATGGAGTATTGTCAAGTGTGGTGGAGAAAAAGATAGCGAAAGAAATATGGGATACGCTGACAAAGTTGTACGAGACCAAATCATTACACAACAAAATCTTCTTGAAGAGAAAGCTTTACACCTTTCGGATGATGGAGTCAACTACGGTGACCAACCACATCAACACCTTCAACACTCTATTTTCACAAATTACATCAATGGAGCATAATATGGAGGCAGGTGAGCGTGCTGAGATCTTACTTCAAAGTCTACCAGATTCGTATGATGAACTCATCATCAACTTAACCAACACCCTTAAAACTCTAGTCTTTGATGATGTTGCAGCTGCTATTCTTGAAGAAGAAAGTCGACGCAAGAATAAGGAGGGCAAATTGACAATTTCACATCAGACGGAAGCTTTAACGATAATGAAAGGGAGATCAACGGAACGTGGCTCCAGTGGGAGTCAAATCAGAATAGATCAAAATCCAGGAGTAAGAAAAATGTCCAGTGTCATTATTGTGGCAAGAATGGGCACTTAAAAAGAGATTGTTGGAGTCTCAAGAAGAATGAAGAAGCCAAAAGAAAAGGTCCTGAGATGTCAAAAGCTCAGGGTTGTGTAGCAAGCACCTCAGATGACAGGGAAATTTTATACAGTGAGGCAACAACAATTGTTGAAGGCAAGTAATTTTTTAATGTCTGGCTTATGGACTCAGGAGCTATATGGCACATGACAACAAGGAGGGAAAGGTTCTATCAATATGAACCTATCCTAGGAAGATCCATGCTTATGGAAAATGATCATGCCTTGGAAATCCCTGGTATTGGTACAGTCAAATTGAAAATATATGATGGTATAGTTCACATTATCCAGGAAGTACGACACGTAAAAGGCCCGAAGAAAAATCTATTATCTCTAGGACAACTGGACAGCATTGGATGCAAACCCATATACAAGATGATATCACGAAAATTATCAAAAGTGCACTTGTGGTGATAAAAGTGAAAAAGATAGCTGCAAATTTGTACATGCTTAAAGGAGAGACACTACAAGAAGGAGAAGCATATGTCACATCTACATGTTCAGTAGAATAATTAACGATGATGTAAGCTTGGCCACGTGTCAGAACGTGGTTTGAAAATTCTCTCAGAACAAAAGCTTCTTCCAGTGCTAAAAAATGTTTCATTACCCTTTTGTGAGCAATGTGTTACTAGTGAGCAGCACAAATTGAAATTCAGCAGTTCCACTGCTAGAAGTAAATTTATCTTGGAGCTGGTCCATTCTGATATTTGGCAAGCACCAGTTATATCCCTAGGAGGTACAAGATACTTTGTATCTTTTATTGATGATTACTCCAAGAGATGTTGAGTGTATCCAATAAGAGCAAGGCAGACGTGTTCACAATCTTCAAAATGTTCAAAACGCGTGCGGAGGTTGAATCTGAAAAGAAGATCAAGTGTCTGAGGACTAACAATAGAGGAGAATATACTAGTGATGAATTTGATAACTTTTGTCAACAAGAAGGTATCAAGAGATAGTTCATGATGGCATACACTCCCCAGCACAATGGAATGGCAGAGCGGATGAACAGAACATTGTTAAAAAGAATAAGGGCAATGTTGAAAACTGCGGGGCTAGCCAAGTCGTTCTGGGTAGAAGCAATCAAAATTGCTTGTTATGTGATCAATTAGTCGCCATCAACCGCAATTGATCTGAAAATGCCTATAGAAATGTAGACTGTAAACCACCTGATTATTCTCGTTTACATATATTTGGAAGTCCTGTGTACGCTATGTACAGCAGCAAGAAACGTCAAAACTGGATCTAGAATCCAGAAAATGTATTTTCTTAGGATATACTGATGGAGTCAAGGGGTACTGCCTGTGAGATCCCACTATCCACAAGGTGATAATCAGCAGAGATGTGATATTTTACAGAAGGCAAGGTACATGAAAAAGAAAATGATAGCACTTCAAAAGAAAAATAAAAAACTACTACAGTCGAAGTTGGAGAAGAACGAGAAGTTATAGATTCTTTTGAAACAAAACTAGAGCACGAAGAATAAGAACAGGCTGAATCTAGTGCTCTGATACTCGACGATCAACACAGGAAAAAAGAGAGCCGGCTTGGCACTCAGATTACATTATAGAGGGCAATGTTGCGTACTACTTACTGACA